GGGAATATAATGATAGGACAAGAGAGAATGGCTTTAAACTGGAAGAGGATAGACTTAGATTCGATATAAAGAAGAAATTCTTCCCTGTGAGGGTGGTGAGGTGCTGGCACAGGCTGCCCAAAGATGTGGATGCCCCATCCCTGGAAGAGTTCAAGGCCAGGATGGATGAAGCTTAAAGCAACCTGGTCTAGTGGAAGGTGTCCCTGCTCATGGTAGAGGGCTTAGAATGAGATCATCTTTAATGTCCCCTCCAGTTTAAACAATGAATTAAAGTCTATGAGTCTATGAATTAAATCAGGGTCCTCACAGTAAGATATCCTTCACTGGCTGATTGATTAATTTGTCCTTACAGCCAAGACCTTACCATTCCAATAGTAAAGATAAGCAGGCAGAAGCTGTGTGAAATGATTTTGGATAAACAGCTGGGTATTTGTAGCAGAGAATATACAATTACCTTTTCCTCATGGCCTCAGAGGATATTTGTGGAAACCAGAAGTGGCTGCTTGGGAAAGAGATCCAAATTCTATGGTAAGGATGAGTTAAGCAGCCGGGTTTCACAAGGTTTAGTTGGCTTGGAGCAGTAATGACCGGACAGCAGGGAGCTGTTTGGGAAAAGCAGAGCTGCCTTTCGCAAATGTCAATATCTGTAACAGAGAAAGCTTGAACAGATGGTTAAGCTTTCCCTCGACCATTCTCAGAACTTTCAACAAGAAGCTGAAGGATCATGACTTCACATTATAGGCAAGATTCTTTGTGAAACTAAGAATTCTAGTTTCCAGTCTTCAAAAAAATTCAGGTTACTAATGTAAAATAAGCTTGAACAGTGATAGATTTCCCTATATAAACATAATGGAAATAGTAACTATGACAGAATTCACAAGTCACTGTCTAATCATGGACACCCAAGTCATACACTCAAGTATTAAATAGAAAAATGCTAAATTCTAGCTCTCAAATCCTAGTTACAACTCTTGAATATCTTGCTCTTTTCCTATGGTAGTAGCTTTTAAAGCCAGAAGAAACTAAAGTAATTATCCAGTGTAAAATGTATAAAGCAAGCTATATGACATGCTTTAAGTGATTCCTTTTTCAAGACCATTAACTCTCCTTGAATTATGATGGAGCTTTCAGAAAAACATACAATATTTATTTAAAATTTTCCAGGGATAGAAAATCCATCACAACTGTTGATAAGTTGCTCTGATGGTTAAGTACCTTGCCTGTTGACAGTTTATGACTTATTTCTTGCCTGAGTTTTTTAGTCTCAGTTAGATGTTTCTGTGTGATTACCTGAAAGATAGAGGAATCTTTAATTCACTTTTCAGATCTGCATGTGATTTATGTGATAACTGGTGGGCAGTGTAAGTTACCCATGTGACCCTTCTAATATTTTGATAACCATCCTGAAATGGATGAGTAGAGACTTGAACTAGAAGGAGCCATCCTACAGCTGTGATACTTTATAAAGTTGAGAGACAGTGTATTTTCTCTTCATGCGCTCAAAAATCCTCAAATTTATGTATCCAGTAGTCAAATCATAATTTCTGACTATGTTACACTCAAAAGTCGTGATTTTTTTCCAAAGTCATTAACTTCCAAGAGGAAAGGGGCCAATACATTATTCTTTATTCTGTCATAAATAGCTTGACAGTTGATAAAAGCAAACTTTTTGTGTGTCTCAGTAACCTCTCTTTTCAGTATTTTCTGCTTAGAAACCAAACTAAATATACACTCTGTTTGCAATTTCATGTCAAAAACTATCAGTCAACGGGTTGTAAAAAGTTCAACATCTACATATTCGTTTCATATCCTCCTAGCTCTTGTACAAGTTGTTTCTGGTGTAAAGTCAAATACCATAGTGATTTCCACTGTTTTGACATTATTGTCTTTCATCCAAGCCTGCTGTCTCAAGAAAAAAAATGCACTATATTCTTTTAAAAGATCTATTATCACACTTAGAAAAAGGTTCATCCCCCAGGGCACTGGAACGGGCTCTTAGGGCAGTGGTCACAGCACCAAGCCTGCCAGAGTTCAAGGAGAGTTTGGAAAACTCTCTGAGGCACATGGTGTGACTCTTGGGGCTGTCCTGTGCAGGACCAGGGGCTAGACTTGATGACCCTCGTAGGTCCCTTCCAACTCAGATTATACTATGATTCTATGATGGAACTCTGATTTACATATTGCCATTTAAATTCCTTATTAATCAATTCATATATCGTTCAGGCTATTTCCCTCCCAACTCCAGGCTAGATGTCAGACAAAAATTTAGTGCTGTAATTACTGTTACTCACATTTTTCTTTTAAAATATTGGGTCATAAGAATTTTATTCTAGTTCACTGGATTTTTTTCTGTATTCTAAAATATGTTTGAAAATAAATAGAACATTGCTTGGCTAAACATCTCTATTAAGAAGGCTGGAGGCAAAAAAAATGAACTAACAGATTGAAAATGTTTTAATTTCATACCTCACATTCCAAAAATCCACCCAAACCAATAATGCTTCTACGTATATGAATAACTTGACCATTCATAGTTTTTAAGTATAATATCTTTGGATAGATGAATAGAACATATGTATCACTCTTTAATGCCAAGGAAATAAGTCATTATGGCATTAAGAGTTTGTAATCATCATGGTTTAATGATCAGGTGTTCTGTTCTATTTCTCTTTTACTCCTAATGCTTTGTTCATTAGGAATAGGCTGCAGTTTGATGTAGCTTCTTACAGCTGTGGGTTAATAGGAAATGAATAGACATTTATGTGTTTTTTCATTGTTAATGCACTTTTATTTTATTGATCAAGTATAAATCAGAATAAAGTAATAAGGTTTTAAATGGTAGGTGATGAATGTCTAGTTTGCAGGATGTACACTTTAATTTCTGAGAGAACATGGGGAACAGAAATCAGCTGGTCTAGGCACTAGCCCGAGTTTTTAATAGTTTGTGTGTTCTAACTGCTAGGAGATGGAGGGTCAGATGCTCCTAAATGTAATATTTCTTTTTTTACTTCAGCAGATCCATTTAATCATTTGTTTTCTCTTTGGTTGCTTAGTATCTTGAAGACAGTCAGTGCTTGTATAAGCAAAGAGAGATACATCCTTGATCAGAATAGAGAAATGTGGAACTGTGTGGGAGCTCCAACATGATGTGACAGGGAATGTGTTTGCTGAAGAGAAAATGAATAGGCACTATTAGACAAGTTCCTCTGATTGATTTAGACCAACTGAGTATTTGCCCTTGATTGCGTCTTTATAAACTAGCTTCTCCTTCTCCTTCTCCTTCTCCTTCTCCTTCTCCTTCTCCTTCTCCTTCTCCTTCTCCTTCTCCTTCTCCTTCTCCTTCTCCTTCTCCTTCTCCTTCTCCTTCCCTCCCTCTCTCTTTTATTTTCTCCTTTCTCTTTTCTCACAGAATCACTGATGTGGGAAGGGGCCTTTGACTATCATGTGTCCCAACTCCATAGCTCACACAGGTCTCCCAAGATCTTGCCCAGAATGGCAAATGTCCAATCAACTTTTGAACATCTCCAAGGATGGAGATGCCTGGGCATCTTGTGCCAGTGCTTGGTCACCCTCACAGTAAGAACCTTGTATTCTTACATTCAGAGAGAACCTCCTGTGTTTCAATTTGTGCCCATTGTCCCTGGGTCTGACACTGGGTACCATTGAAAAGAGCCTGGTTAAATCCTTTTTAACACCCTTCCTTCAGGTATTTATATAAATGAATAGGAATCCTTTTCTTCACCAGGTTTAACAGTCACAGCTGCCTCTTCTTCTCTTGTCTCCTTTTGCTTTTATCTTTTTCCAGATAAAAGTATAAAAGGACTTAAGCACAATGAATCATCCCATGCTATGGAAGAGGTCAGGTACAGAGACTGGAATTACAGCTGTCATGACTAAATTACACAATAATATTTACGGAGCCGTTACAGCCTTGTGAACTTAAGATACAACACTGCTATTTCAGGTGAAAAGGGATGCATTTTCCCAACTGCTCTTTCAGTCCCAGTAGTTAAACAGATTAATCACTGGCATCATTCCAGCACATTAGGGATTGATTAGACTGATTTATTTGTGTGTGTGTGTTATTGAAGGGCTGCAATGAAGCATATAGTACTTTTAAAATAAAGTCCTAACCTATGAGCTCTAGAGAACATGTTTCATATCTGCCTTAATTTACAAGACATTCAGTGTCTGAAGCATGGCTTTGATGAGCATTTACCAGTGTTAAAAAATCACCTGACTATGATCTGTTGCAATGATCAGAAATTCCTGAGGGCTCTAATAAGGCAGAGGGCTGTCAGACAGGTTAAAACACAGATATTTTTCTTTTTAAAAAAAAAAAAAGAGCAACATCTCCAGGCTATGCTGAAGACTTTACAAAGACACATTTGAATAATGCCTGTTTAAACCAAGGGACTGTCGCAACATTCAGAGGGATTCAGCTGTCCCATGCCCTGGCTAATAATATCTCTTTGGGCCCAGCCTACACTCCCAGCTGAGGAGCAGACCTCTGACATCTCTTGATCCAATATGGGTTGAGGAATTCATCCCCATTTCTATTTTTGCAGATCTCTTTGGAAAACTTTCTCTGGCTAGCTTGGTTCTTGCAAACCATCAAACCCAGGCAGCTGTTACAGTAAAATTTGAGGATATGTGTACTGATAGATTCATAATTTACACAGTAACAATGGAGGAAATGAAGGTGTCCTTCTATGACTGTGCATATATTTATTCACCTTGAAGAGATTCACTCAGTTTCAGCACACTTGCTCAGCTCTCCCAGCTGTGATAAAAACCCTCAGCAAGGCTGTAGTATTCCAAATTGCTTTCATTGATTGAGGTCTTGATCTTCTTTGTCTTTGGAGGAAAAGAAGACACGTGTATCTTTAGAAACACATTTTGTGCTTGGGATTCTGCTCAAGTTCAAACCTTGCCTCTTGAGCACTTTCTATCATTCATAAAAATAATATATAAGGGAGATATTACATATTCACTTGCCTTTTGATGGGTCTTTCCTGCACATGCCTGCCTTCAGAGGTGCTGGTGTAGTTTGGGTATCAATATCCAGCTAGATGGATCTTCTGGAAGACTAAACAAAATTTACTAATTTCAGCTAACAGTAATAAACTTTGTGAAGAAAACTCGGAATGTGCAGTGAGGTTCAAACACACTAATGGTGTCTATAAAAAACTGAAAAGTGCCTGAAAAAATACTGAAAAGAACATTGACTGAGAAACAGACTTATGAGAGCATGCATAGGCAAACAATGTCTGCAAGCAACTATTTTGATTATAACTATACACTACAGAAGCTAAATATAACTTTGCAGAGGGGCAGACACTCGCTGTCCTGCAGTTGTGTCAGGAGAGGTTTAGGTTGAGTATTAAAGAAAGGTTCTTCACTCAGAGGATGGTTGGCCCCTGAACAGGCTCCTCAGGGAATGGTCACAGCACCAAGCCTGAAAGAGCTCGAAGAACGTTTGGACAATGCTCTCAGGCACATGGTGGGATTCCTGTGTGGTGCCAGAAATTGTGCTTTATGATTATTGTTGCTCATTTCCAACTCAGATTATACCACAGGGTTCTATGATGTTTTAAATATATTGAATGAGGTGATATTTGACAGACTTTGTTACCATCAGGTGGATGAGGCCCTGGCACAGGTTGCCCAGAGAAGTTTTGGATGTCCCATCCCTCAAGTGGTCAAGGCCAGATTGAATGGGGCTCTGAGCATCTTGATCTAATGAAAAATGTCCCTGCTCATGCCAGGGTGGTTGGAATGAGATGATTTTAAAGGTCCCTTCCAATCCAAACCATTCTATTTCCATGAAATACAGATTAGGTAAATTATACAGGTTTCTTCTAATACAACAGAACAGTTGCTCTCTCTTTTTCCTCATGCCCTTGCCTGACTACTTTTCATTTTATATTTGCAAGTAATCAGTATTTGATTTTTTTTTTCCTTTCATATCCATTTCTGGAAGATACTTAATCTTTCAGCTTGCCACATTGGCTGAAATGATCAGTGAGTTACAGAAAATCAAAAGGCCTAAGGAAAAAGAAGAACTCATCAAACATAGTAACATCATTGCCAAACTGAGTTTTGGCAGCTCTCTAAACTAAGGAAGGTTGAGCTAAACTAGTACAGAATGATAGACCACCAAAAAACTCTTGACTCGCTAAGCAGTACTTCATCTTTTCAAGCAATTTAGTTTAGCTCTTCCAAGACAATATCATTAGATGTTATGCTTTTTTGAATGAATAGCTACTGGAAAATAATCATGCTCAATTTCTTGTTGCTTTTCCTCTGTGTTCATTTTTATACAAGGAAGACTTTTAGGTTCAGGAAAATTAAGAGCTGCTTCCATATCTCCAGTTCAATGAGTAGTTATTAATGTCATTATGATGTTGAAGTGGGGTTTTATGTCTAAAGTGATTTTTATGTACCATCTCTTATTTAATCCCTATGAATATCTCCATTTCTTAGAGAAATGGAATTCACAAGTGGGGAGTTGACATCAGGTTGAACACATGAAAACCTAGTTTAGAGCCTTTTGGTTTGTTTTTTTTTTTTTTTTTTTTTTTTCTCTATAGAGATGGAGCTAAAGCCAAGCCACTCCATTAAAAAATATTGAATTCTTTTGTACTAAAACAGAAGAATTCAGGTCATGGTTGAAACAAGTTAAGAGCTGAATAAAGAGTTTCCTTGTGTGATTCATTGTTTACAACTAAAAGGACCTCCAAAACACAAGCATATGTCAATTCTACAAAAGCAATCACCAGTGAGAAGGGATTTTCTTTGCTCACATACCAACACAAGAAACATAACTCTTTGTGCAGAGAGAGTCTCTCTTTACCTGGTGTTCCTCTGCCAGGGACTTGCCATCTCCCAGCAGGTTAAATAACAAGGGAACTCAGATGTGGAGAAGCTTTGTTGAAAGCCTGTCAGGTGACACTGCCCATTGACATCTCTGATGTCTGGATCAGGCTCGGTGACCACAAGAGCATCCAAACTCTGCCAAAGGGATTGGTCTGACTTGGTGGCTTCAGAGGCCCCAAGGGTGGTAGAGTTTATCTTCCCACTGATTTTATTAAAAAAAAAAACCAAAAAAGTTAAAATATTGTCTTCAAACAAAATGTTTGGATATTTAAGCATCACGGCAACTGAGAGTGCCACACTCCTCAATTATTGTAGCTACTCCTGAGGAAACTTTACTAATAGGATTTAACAGTCTATTGCACAAGGAAACCAGTAGCATTTAAAAAAAAGCCAAAAGCTTTGTTCTTCTCTCCTTCTTTTGTTCAAAGCTGCCAGATTGTAGTTTAGTCTGTGACTATGCAGACTTGAAATTACCTTTCAGTTAGTATGTACTAGAATGGGGAAAAATCTAATTTGCTGCCAGTATCAAGAGTGTCAATAGAAAAGAGTCATCAATATGACGTGCACATGGAAAATAATTAATTTCACTGTGTTCCCAGGTGGCTGTGGTGCAGATGCAGTGGTTGCTTGCATCCCATAATTAAGTCCCAACAGCTTTGCGATTGTATTATTTATTTCATGCATTATCCTCAGATCATCTCCTTTCCTGTGTTATATTTGAATGATACCCTGTGCTGCTAAACAGCCATGAGGATGATGGTGCAACACTACCAAAATGAACCTTTCATGCAGGCTCTGGGGTTATATATAGCCCTACAATGTCTCTGTTTAAACTGGGGAGAAAGAATTCAAGTGGGATGGGATGACACAGGTGGAGCCTTTTGTACAGCTGGGAACAATCTCTTCAGTCTCTGTCTCCAGCACTGTTCCTTCTGGTTTTATAACAGTGGATTTCTAAACTTGTCTTACTTCCCTCCCTCCCTCTGTGTTTAGATAACAATATTTAACTTTTTATAGCACTGCAGTGGTAGGGATGAACTGTGACAATTGTTGCTGAAAATGAAGAGAAAGTACAATACAACCCTGTTCAACAGAGGATGGCTGTCAGCTCCTGAACCAGCACTCCAGCATGTTAAACCTTCTTGTCATTTTCTTCAAAGCTCTGAAAAACTTTTTGCTTCCCTACAGGTCCCCCATTGCTGGACTCCATCTCTTTCTCACCCCCACAACCACTCTCCCTCTGCCAATGATTCTGGTTTTGTTGATCAAAACTCCCACTGTTGCCCGTCAGCTCAACCAAATATAAACCCTCTATACAAATGGCCTAACTTTCACCCACATCTTAGAAACTACTTTTTGTTGTATTACTTACTATCAAATGATTTGAATACGCTCTGCCCAGGCAAACTATTCAAAATTTGATGAAGTAGATTATTTCTATCTGAGATATTAGGTGCAGAAAGTATTTTTTATTTGGTTGCAAATATATCTCATTGAAAGTTGCTAGGTTAAAAAGTCTGATTCTGTTCATATTTAGTGCAAAACCGTAGCATTAAGTACTGGTGTCTGCTCTCAAAAGTAGGCTAAAACTGGCTGTGTGCCTGGCTCTCTTTATCTCTTTTAAACTACATTCATCCTCAAATAATGAGCTTCTGGGCATAAAACACCCCAGTCCTCAAAAAAGCAAAAATTGGGCATAACTTTAAAGAAACTTTCGGCTTTTATACAAATGATATTCCATAATGCTTTACTGCTTTAAGGGAAGACACCTGGTATTGAAAAATAAAAAGGTAAAAAATAGGGAAATTTAGAGTAATGGTGGAAAGTATTTGTAGCCAAGATTTGAGGTGAGAGGTCACAGAGAACCTGTGGAGGTCTGTATGGAATGGGAGTGTTACAAATGAGTGTTTGAGATCACTTAAAAAATCACTGGCAGGGGTACGAGCAGAAACCAGATTTAGTATTAAACGACAGCACAACAAATTTCATTGACACAATTCACTCTACAACTTACAGGACACTTAAGCCACAGTAAAGAAAAACACACAACAACAAAACCACATAAAATCCAAGCAATCAAAACAGAAATTAACTGAGAGCTGTCTAGGGGTGTGTGTATATACATAAATCTGTGTGTGTGTGTTTAGGTGCCCACGACAAACTTAACAGTATTTTAACTTATACCTTAAGCCTAACAATTCAACACAGAAACACTTAACTTATACCTAACTTATAACTTAACAATTTAACAAATTAATAACACTCAACAGCACTTAACCTAACTTATGACTTCGAAGTCAAACCTAGTACTTATCAGAAGAACAACACTTAGCAGCACTTAACTTTTTAACTTAGGTTGAACTTCACAGTTTAGCAAAAGAACAACCTAGAAGCATTTAAGTAAGGTTAAGTCATAAGTCACAAGCTTTCTTACTGGCCTAACTTCAATATCCAAGGTACTAGAACAACTAAGAAAGCAGAATTTCTCCCAGATTTGCTATAACATATGCACAAGTTTATGCACACAGACTTAAAGAGTCAGTGCAAGCAAGTTATCTGTGAGAAATTCCCCTTGGAGGTCAGTGAAATAATTTGGATATTTTGCATCTCCTCATAGGCAAAGGCCAGACTTGAGGAGTGAGGTATCGGCCCAGGACTCATCATTTTTCAGACAACCCCAAGTATAGAAAACTTGAGAGTTCAGTGGCTCTGAGACCTCACTCAGAGGGAGGTTGCTGGTCACAGCCCAGGAGAGCTCAAAGGGTCTCTTTTTGGACCACTCTTCATAGGGTAGCAAAAGACTGGGCTTTACCCATAACAACGTTCCATCCTGGCCACAGTTTGGCTTGGCACGTTCTTTGAAGGGGTGAGAACAGAAATGTTATACCCTTCAGGCAAGAAAAATATTTTCCAAGGCTGTTCATAAGGAAAACAATGCTGGTTAGACAGCAGCTTTCTGATGTGCTCTGGGTGTTTCTGAAAGGCTTGGGAAGAGCTGGGCCCAGGTGCTGTTTCTCAGGGCTGCGGCCTAACATGTGTTTCTCAGACCACAATGTGGCCTGGAAATGAGAAGCAGAGGATGCACCACTGTAAAAGTCTCCTCTCCTGGGAGAAAATCTTTATTTCACTGCTGTATTTGGTTTCTGTCATGGAAGAGCTACCGTATTCCAGAGGGAACAGTGGTGGTGAGGAGGAAAGGCTCTGAGTGAAAACTGCTGAGGCAAGTGGATGATTGATTTGAAATTCTAAAAAGAAATGATTGAGATGGAAATACACAGTTACAGGGAAGGTCTTTATGACATGACATGGAGAGGTGCAACGAAATAAAAAACAAAACAAACCAAAACAGCAACAACAAATCCCCAAAAAAAGCTCAATATGATCGTAAATTCTGAGGAAGATGCATCATTCTAGACTTAAAAATATATGAAAAGACCCTCCAGGACTAAAATATTACACAGCGTGAGTAGACAATGCAAATTCTGTGGGAATGATATGGATTATATGGAATTAGCCTGTGATTGTTTGAAACTAGGTCAATATGATTGGCAATTTCCAAAAAACCCATCTATGTGCAATTACAAGGCAAGGTGGGCTTGTCAAAGGTGGGCTGTTCCCAGATGTCTGATTCCATATTTTTCTCATAGCAGCACTGTGGTGAAGAATAAAGAATCCAAAAGAGGAGCACTTGAGGTGACTTGGTCTGTTCAGTCTGGAAAAGAGAAGACTGAGGGAAGATCTCATTGTGGGTACAACTTCCTCACGAGGGAAGCAGAGGGGCAGCACTGACCTCTCCTCTCTGGTGACCAGTGACAGGACATGAAGGAATGGCAAGAAGCAGCATCAAGGAAGGTTTAGGTTGGTTATTAGGAAGAGATTTCTCACCCAGAGGGTGGATGGGCACTGGAACAGACTTCCCAGGGAAGTGGTGACAGCATCTTGAAAGAGCTCAGAAGTGTTTGGACAGTGCTCTCAGGCACAGGGTGGGATTCTTTGGAATGATACTGTGCAGGGCAAGGAGCTGGACTCAATAAATCTTGTGGGTGCCTTCTAACTCAGGATATAAAAAAAACCAAATAAACCTAAAAAAATCCCAAAAGATCAACCCCAACAGACTCAAGACTTCAGTGGGAATTATACTGGAACTGTGTTACTGTCTTTGGGATTTTTTTCTTGGTTGGTCTTCATCTATTTGTTCCATTATGCCTTTGGGCCCAATCCCAAAGCATGAAAAGTAAAGTTCAACATGAATGAATTGAACAGGTATGAATTTGACAGATTTTAAGTCATACCTTCAATGTCATGAAAAAGGAATTTGGCATCACCTTCACTGCTGGATCCTGGGATGAGGCTGAGAGAATGGCAGATTTCTTACCATGTTCCCAAGGTCAGACTGCAAGACACTTCCTCATACTGAGCCCAAAACTTCAGTGCCAGTACTTTGGTTTCTGTGCTTTTTTGTTTGTTGGTTTATTTTTCTCTCTGGATTAGAAAGACCTGCAGGAAACTTAGGACAAGTCTCTAAAAAATGAAATGACTCATCCAATAAGGCAGTAAGAGATTTAATTAGATTTCAAAATGAATAAATCTGGTTGGTTCATGGCAGTGTGGAGCAGGTGCCAAGCATGACAATCATCTCTGTGGGGGTGGAAAGCCCTTTCTGTCGGTACAGAGCAAGGAGGTTGTGGGATGGAGAGTGCCAAATATCTGTCGATAACTCTGTAGAGGGAACACATAAGGGGAGGCAGAGACACACCATCAATAACTACAGCTCACTGTGTCTGCCATGATCCCTGGAGCAGAAACTTGCTGTGAAAGTCCCAGCATGCAGTGTTCCATGGGATCCTTCTCCAGGGCTAGTCATTTATCTTTCTCTGTGGCAACTAGTCGAAAAAGAAATCAACATTTTTGAACAATGACAAGTGTAAAACTCAGGGAATTGGAATGTTTGACAAATATCAGTTCAAAGACATTTAATGAACAGTAATTAATGTTTCAGTTAGGGCCCAAATGAAACAGAATCCAGGTCCACACAAAAGCTACCTGTGTCTTCAGTTCTGGTGCCTACCTTAACTCCTATGTCTAACCTGTACTGTCTGTTGTGTAGGAAAGCTTCACACTGGATTCTCACCTGGAGCTTTGCTAACTTTGTTTTGCACATTGGAGTCAGAGGAAGTGTTAAAAGGATGGTTACATGGTGCCCTTCAGGCACTGCCTCTTCGTGGAAGGAAGAGGTTTCCCATGGTTTGCTGACACCAGGTCCTTCCTGACCCCTGAAACAACTCATGTATGAATAAGGCAGAAACTGCAGGTTAATGTCCTAATAAAAAATAGTGATTAGATGCAGGCCAGCACAATGGGTACCCTGAAAAATTCTATAAACTTAAACACTGAACTTTTGGTTCACTTCATTCTTGCTTTGGTGAGAGGAGTGAATAGCTCCCCATTTCATACAGCTTCGTTAAATCTGTTTACAGCAGGGGCCACTTGAGACTCATCCGACTCAGAGTCTTTTGCTTTGTTCCTCTCCCTGCCATGGCACTGAGGTGCATTTCATGACTGTTTTATTTCCATTACAGGCCTGATCACCCTTTCACTTCCTGAAACAGCTGCCACCAGTTAAAATGAAGTATCTGCACATATCACACCTTTTAAAATTCAGTCTTGTTCAGTTTGCAGTATCTTCTTTTCTAAAAAGCTGTACTTTCAAAAATTACATCTTGAAATATGTAAGATATAAATTTAATGTAAAAGGAAAGTGATTTAAAGATTTCAGTATAATTTAATGTAATTCCAAACAATATTCTATATCGTTTTACCTATAATAGCTTCTTTTTGATGACGGGAAGTTTTCTGTAATTCTGCCCTACTCTCTGATAATAACTCATATCCTAGTTGAAAGGACTTACATGCCTATTACTGTAATTTTTTATATTAATAATTTGCACATCAGCTACCCAGTAATATTTTAAAGAAATAACTTTCTCATTCTACAAAATTCCTTCCTGCCTTTTATAACTATTCAGAAACCAAAGAGAATAAAATATGCTGTTTGGAAAGGAACTTGTTGATATCCCTTACTAACTGGAAAGACTGTCATCTGTAAGTTCCCCAAACTTGACAACAACCTTCATTTCATAACACACTATTAGCCTCAAAGGCACTGAAATCAGGACACAGCCAAAGACTTCAAAAATAGACTCTGGAATGGTTACTTGTTCACAAATATTTTGAAAACAGTTGGAAACTTTTGGAGCACCTCTGCTTACAAGGACAAAAGGCCAAGGATATGTCACTTGTCCTGCTTTGCTTGTCACTAATGAGATTATTTCCCCCTCAGTTTAAATGACTTTGCACTTGCTGAAAAACAGCGTTAAAGAGGACTAATAGGTGAGTTTCTAATGAGTCACTGTCTCTACATGACCTTAAAACTGTCAGGCACAGTGCACAATGTGTCTAGATGTTGCTTGGTGTTCATCTTGTTTCCACTGTTGGACAGGAGAGCAGTGTACGCTGTTTAGGGATGTTCCATCCATGGTGTATTCAAAGCAATTGTTAGGGAAAACATTACATTTATTTCTCCTTCTTGAAGGGATTTCAGTCTGATTGTGAAGACCACCTTGGCATTGGTACAATAGAACTATTTTTCTTTGGAGAGATTGAGTACCTGGTGTGAAGGTGATTTGTGTCCTTTATGGGACCACATTGGTAAGCACTGCCTAGAAATGCTTGGAGAATAGCACAAATGAGCAGTTCCTCCAAACACAGTACATCACAGTTATTAATTGCATGAATCTATGTCCTAGAAGTTCCTCTTCCAACAGATTCATCAGACTGGATGAAAAAAGGAATTTTAACACTTCAGAGGATTGTTGCAGAAGTAATAACATCATAGTATAACCAATTATAACCACTTGTATTTCAAATAAATAACATCCTTCCTATAAATGGCAGCTCATTTTTTCAGTCTCTCATACTCAGTGGAAGAGAAATTCATGGCACTCTTGTAGCAATTCTGTTAAGCAGTAATTCATATTGGCTTTATCTTTCAGGATAGAAAGGGATTTCAAATATACAAGTGCAAAACAGAATCAGATCCATTACCATTAAGGCAGGGGAACAGGACAACATCACACTTTCCAGAGGAGTCCTAACTTAATTTTTCTCCATTCACACTTGTGTTCTTAGAAAGTGATTTAAGTTAGGTAGTAAACAATGAAAGATTCAGAGTAAATTCCAATTATTGATTTTCCTGGTAGTAGAGAACATCTCCTCTTTCTTTCACCACGCTTCAAATCTCACAGGCTGAGTTTTCTCCCCTTCCAGTGCCACGGCTGCAAGCACCACAACTAGCATTTCTGATTTAATCATGCACTGTAGGGCACAATGAGCTAAACTTACACATTTATACCTTATTATGAGGAACAGGATCAACTGCAGGCTCGCAGATTCCAGGATGAAAACATCCAAAGGAACCTTTACATTCAGGTGGCCTGACCTGTGGTGTAGTACACAGCTATGGACCTCTCTGAATTTATTTTATTATCCACGAACATGATCAATTCCTACCCATCACTATAGGTGAGAAAGATTAGTACTCAGCTGGAGAAGAATATTTGAATTATTAGGCACAGCATTTATTGCAATTAAATATTGCAATTAAAGTACCGTGACTCCCCAAAGCAGCCACAACGTGACTCCCCAAAGCAGCCACAACTATGAGTTTTACTAAGTGTTCACAAACTTCTTAATTCTCATTTTTTCAGCCTAGAAAGGACAGTTATGCTTTTGTAATTTCCTATTTCCCTAAACACTGGGAACTGCAATTAAGTGATTTGTACATACAAGAACTTTTCTGTTGAATACATTCCTTCTTGAGTGAAGAAAGTGTAGAAAAGAGCCATTGGAATACTGGAAAATGGGAAAATTAAAGCAAGAAGTCCTATGCCTTACAGCTTAAGGTTCTGGAAGTGGTTATGTGAGAGAGTAAAAAACCCAGAAATTTCTTTTAAATGCTCCAAATATATCACTTTCAAGACTGAGGTCACTGTCAGCAAAGTAAGCTGGGCTATTGCAGCGCAGAAATCCAGGCTGGGCTGCAACCAAAGCACCGTGGGCAGCAGGTGAGGGAGGGGATTCTGCCCCTCTACTTTCTCCTGGTGAGGCCCCACCTGAAGGCTGGAGAGGGACTTTTGACAAGGGCATGGAGTGCTAGGACAAAAGGGAATGTGTTTAAACTGAGAGTAGTTTGATATTGGATATTGGGATGATATTAAG